TATAGCAGTGTTGATACCCCTACAGTTATAGCAATGTTGATACCCCTACAGGTATAGCAATGTTGATACCCCTACAGTTATAGCAGTGTTGATACCTTACAGTTATAGCAATGTTGATACCCCTACATTAATAACAATGTCGATACCCCTACAGTTATAGCAATGTTGATACCCTACAGTTATAGCAATGTTGATACCCTACAGTTATAGCAATGTTGATACCCCTACAGGTATAGCAATGTTGATACCCCTACAGTTATAGCAATGTTGATACCCCTATAATTATAGCAATGTTGATAGCCCTACAGTTATAGCAATGTTGATACCCCTACAGTTATAGCAGTGTTGGTATCCCTACAGTTATAGCAATGGTGATACCCCTACAGTTATAGCAATGCTGATACCCCTATGGTTATAGCAATGCTGATACTCCTATAGTTATAGCAATGTTGATACACCAACAGTTATAGCAATGTTGATACCCCTATAGTTATAGCAATGTTGGTTGGTTAAACGGTGTATGTACGCGTCTAACCCTGATTCTGTCAAATGTTGCATAGATTGTCCTACATTTTGATACCCCTATAGTTATAGCAATGCTGATTCCCCTATAGTTATAGCAATGCTGATCCCCCTATAGTTATAGCAATGCTGATTCCCCTATAGTTATAGCAATGCTGATGCCCCTATAGTTATAGCAATGCTGATGCCCCTACAGTTATAGCAGTGTTGGTTGGTTTCACGGTGTATGTACGCGTCTAACCCTGATACTGTCAAATGTTGCATAGATTGTCCTACATGGTGATACCCCTATAGTTATAGCAGTGTTGGTTGGTTACACGGTGTATGTACGCGTCTAACCCTGATACTGTCAAATGTTGCATAGATTGTCCTACATGGACCTGGAGGTCAGGAAGTTCATTCCTCTAGACATACACCTCGTGTTCGAGACGGTTCTATTTCTCAGGACGACTTTTAAGTTCATTGCTCTGTCTAGAGCGTCCATTAAGAATATGAGCATGCCAAAAATAATGACAGACGACTCTTTCGGGAAATTTCAAATACTTCAATTTTTGATTATAAATTCCTTTGATTCGTGTGTGTCTGTGCGGATCTTATGCCTGGCAGGTGTTCGGGTTTTTTATTCTTTCTTAGAGATATCAGGAATTCTCTCTGCATTTTACGATATGTGTTTTATCCAATCATCTGTGGTGTCAGTTTTTACATACAGAACTATGATGTCATTGCATTTAACTTACCAATGACAGCCACCCATTGCTTCAACCGACCAATAACAGCCAGCCGTTGTTTGTGTCAGTCTTATATCTTGTTGCACAGGTAAAATAAACGACAGATGTTTTAATCACCTGGTTCTCCAAAAACAATTTACTCCGTCTAACAGTTAAAAATCAAAACAGAAAAACAATTGTCTGAAATCTAACGTACCTTGCCAGTCCCTTTTGTTAGAAAAATAACAAAAATAATAAACCAAAAATGGACCAAATAAAGAAAGACAGATATATTTAGGAAGTTTCACTATAAGCAAAAACATTTAGTAATAAAATCATATCTTGTTCTGAGCCGGATAAAGTCTATACATTTTTCATAGTGTATTAGTCCCTCTACATTTTTTTGCATAATCTTATACAGAAAGTTTGAAATCTACCTTTTAACAAGTGGCTTTAACTTATGTTATTTTACTTATTTTATTTGGTCCATAAAGGGTAAAAACCGCATTTGTGACAGTAAAAATAATTGTATTTTTCACTGTAAACCTTATATCTAAATGGTAAAATTGAAATAAAGCAATGTTTTTTTTTAAATATTGTGAAGAGCAATGTCAAACTTTATACCAACCCTGTTTTTGCCTTTAGTATGTATTTTAATTAATGTTGTTCTTCGTTTTGTGTCGGTTATTCCCGTTTTGTGGCGGTCATTCCCGTTTTGTTTCGATTATCCCGTTTTGTGTCGGTCATTCCCGTTTTGTGTCGGTCATTCCCGTTTTGTGTCGGTCATTTCCGTTTTGTGTCCGTCATTCCCGTTTTGTGTCGGTCATTTCCGTTTTGTGTCGGTCATTCCCTTTTTGTGTCCATTTTGGAGTTCGATGATGTGTGATACTTAAATCTTACTTACAAACTCGGAGCTTAGTTTATTGACATAAAGGTCCATAATTCTAATGTTTATTAACAAATTGTTTTGTATACAATGGCTGACAAATACAACTCACCTGACCGTCAAGATTGGAGAGATGTTATGTCATAATGACATACATTTGGAAACAAGGGCACACATCATCACCTTCTGGTCCAGATCTGTCAGCTTTGTTGTCCCTGTGTGCCAGTTTCCTCTTGTACCAATACTGCTGAACGACCACAAGGAAATTCTACATCTATATTCTGGCGCCATGGTACCCTCTACTCGCGTTTTATCACACATCAAAACGTTATAACCTCATGTTAATTTCTGGCCGTAGTAGGTTTTACTTGGGCAACCTATGTATTGTGCGATAGCCTCGTATCATTGGTTATCGGTGTGTTGTCATTCTTGGCCAGCTTTTGTATAATTTGGGAACAGCTCTGTGTTATTCTGTAAGCAGGATCGATCTCCCCCTCAAAACATCTAAACCTTTAAATGTCTACTTTGAGATGAAATTTTCACACTTTTGATCGTATAAGCTATGTCTCGCACAAACACATTTTTGTTGTTGTTTTCTTCAGCCTTGGTTTCGAAATCAATATTTAAACACTGAAATCATTTATTTTTTCATTTTTCTGTAATCTTCCTGATATAATTGTACACTTTATGATGGCTTGTCATTGTTTTAATCTATAATTACATATCGTCTGGTTAAAATGGGCTGTCAATTCAATAGCATATGCTGGTTATCAACTCATATCTAAGTAACGTCTTGTATTAAATGCGCGTACTTTTTCATTTGCTTTAAACTCGACAGAGAATTGATCCAATACATTCTATTAGGTCATAACTGTGATTTACTGGTTTTAAATATAAAAAGGTAATATCCTGCTTGCTGGATGGATAATAAATTCACAAACAGATAAAAATAATTGTAACATTCGTTTATAGTCGCGATTTTATCAAAGGTTTTTATTTCTTTTTGGAATATGATGATATGTCAGCTTGAAACTTAAATCTGGAGAGAGAATCTTTTAAACTCGATTATAATTTTTTGTATTGATGCTTTAGTATGCAATTGTTAAGCCCGATACGTGACGCTATAAGAGCGAGTTTCCATTCAAGCGTTCAGCTACGTTCTTGCTCTTATAATTCCTGTGTGGTTTAGAAGGCCACTAAGCTTTATGTGTACCGAACAAGTTGTAGTCATAAGCTCATATGTAGCAGTAATGATACTCGTATACTAATACTATTTTTAGTAAATCTGGCCTCCATACATGTATACTTAATGCGTAAATCTTGTTTCATTAAACACTTGCTCGTGTTCATATGCCTACCAACGTCTTACTGTATTTTCGTTCATTGCAGGTTGTGACTGGGCAGTGGAAATGACGTACCTAGCGCGGTCGACAATAAACCAATTAAAAGGACTCAGCATCAGTACCTCTGTAGCAATGCTTGTGTAATCTAGCCGATATATCAGCCTCTATGACGTGGTACTTCTTAGTTAACAGGTGCGCGTTCTATAATTAATGTAACTGTATCACGGAAAGTGTCTATCTATTTACGGACCCAGTAACGTTGTGGTTAACACGTCACGTGACATGTCTCAAAGGAGTTGTGTACCTTTAAAGGAAAACATTGAGTGACGTCGTTTCCAACAGTAAGGGATCTACGTTTCTGTTGAGTGTTGTATTAGGCAATATCAGAGGTCCTTACTAAGGTGGCATAGTCGAAAATCAATTGAAGATTGCTGCAACCTCGCCTATCGAACTTCAGTTTGCTCGACATGTGAATTATTTAAGAAATAGGAAGCTACACCACGACCTTACCGGATAAACTGTTTCAGAAAAAGTACTGAAAGACAGTTTTTAAAGACGACAGGATTGAATTGATTCATGTATATTTCAGCGGCAGGGACCATCGCCTACTCACCAAATACGTAGGGCTCTATTGAACTGGAAAACACCGTCTCGATCATCGACTTTGGAATAGAGATTAAACCAAGTGTGCTACACATTTTCGCTAACTGTAGGGGATTAAGAGCAATTACTACAAAGGGACAAGCATAGACGAGCTGGATTTCATATTTTGTACATATAACGCGTGTGTATATACAGTTATTCTATGTAGTGTATCGATGTTAGATGAAGTCGGTAAGTGTTAAATTCGCGCTATAGAACGTTTTTATATCACGACCCGATTTAACAGTGACATAATTTGGAGAATTCTGTGAAGGAAACATTTGTGCCACGACTTGTGAAAGATTTCAGTCATTAATATGGTACCAGTGTATTACAATATAAACGTTAATCTACTGGCGACACTTGGATTTATGTCTAAATCTGTGAACTGTTATACACATGGAATATAATCTACAGAAATGTAACTGCCATACACAAGACTGTTCACAAACTGTGTACAGCGATATTCAATCACAAAATTATTGGAATGACGAAGTGCTCACTATCTACGAAATGAAATCATATATTGAGGAACATAGAATTGTTTCATAGTTGGAGGCGTATTTTGTGAAAAACCAATTTGCCAACCGTTTTCGTGTCAGGGTTATAAAGCGCAGTGTTTGTTAAAAATCACTTGAAGTATAAAGATGGTTTGCGCTTAGACAAAAAGAAAAACGAAAGAAAATCTAATGACATTGAAAGTGAAAAAGGTTTTCCTGACGTCTTCGTTCACCGTGGAATTAAAGCCTACACACGTTTTTGGCGGTAACTGATTATGGGTGCAAACCTCAGCGACTGTTTCTCCTGTTTGGCATGTAAAGAGTCCTTGGGAATTATTGGTCCACACCTCAGCCTGTCTGGTCGCGCTACTGTTGATGGGGATCGATATTGGAGGCAGGCTTCGTGATTTGACTGAGAGAGTGACGGACGGCTCCAATATAACGATAGAGTATCGACCAAGTGCCGTACACCCCCAACAATGGGGAGTGTGTTCACCGCCGTGTATGTGAAAAATATACCCTCAAATGGACGCAAACAACAGTTATCCAGTATTTTACACACACGTGACGGATTTCGATAGTAATGCTTGGATCGGTGTTCATTAGTGTCAGTGAACGTTGATGAAATTTTAAAGTGGTCTCGAAAAATACTTGTTTACCTTCGGTGACAAAAATGTCTTATAAACCTCTTTGGTTTTTACATAACTGCGCTGGCGTGTGATGTATATATTTTGTGTAGCAGTTCTATATTTTCCATCACCGGACATGTTAGATTGATATGGTCGTGTGGAGCGTACCTTTTTGCCCTAATGATGTTTTGCAGTGAAGAATACAACCGTCTACGTAATCGTTTTGTTTTGATGCGTATTTACGGCAAATCTGATCTTACCAACAGCTTCTGACTGGGGAAGTGAGACAGAAAAGAAAAAAAAATACCATGGCAGATTTGGTGTTTAATAAAACGTTAGCAATCTTACCAGACCTTGTCTTGGATAACGACACAGCTGTAATATACACAACGAGGTTTAACTCTAGTTTATCAGGGAACAGTTCGATATTTCCCGGAAATGATACGACATTTGCTGGAGGGTATCCTCCTCGTCCCGAATCTCGGTACGAAGTTTGGCAACAAGTGTTGATCACTATAGTGTTAGTGGTACTGACCACGGGAACTGTGATAGGGAACTCCCTGGTGTGTATAGCAGTAGGTATCGTGAAACGTCTCCAGACGCCTTCCAACCTACTTATCCTGTCCCTGGCCGTGTCAGACCTGCTTGTGGCCATTTGTGTGATGCCTTTCAATGCAGCCTACGAAGTTATGTCCTATTGGTCTCTAGGCGAAGTGGTATGTGACCTCTTCACCTCCTTGGATGTTATCCTGTGTACGGCTTCCATTCTTAACTTGTGTATGATCAGTGTGGATCGCTACTTCGTCATCACTCGGCCATTTAAATATGCCATGAAAAGAACACCTCGTCGGATGGGACTCATGATAGCCAGTGTGTGGAGTAGTTCTGTCATCATTTCCATTCCACCTTTACTAGGGTGGAAAACAGAACGGCCACCGTGGCATTGTTTAATAAGTCAGGAAATAGGATATCAGATCTATGCAACCCTCGGTGCCTTTTACCTCCCTCTCAGTGTTATGTTAGTGGTGTACTTCCGTATATGGAAGGTATCGTCAAGACTTATGAAATCGGAAAACAAATCGAAATTGGGAAGCATTGATAAAGGTAATGATCAAATATACTTACCTTCCAAAAAATCATCGAAAAGTAGCGGAATAAGTGAAAATACAATCGTTGGTAATGGCAATCTCAAAAACGGAAATTATGACGGGGATGACGCTTCGATGGAAATGCTTGGACATACTAACCACCTTAAGACAAGTAATGGCAAAAGAAGATTTACACTTAAATCGTTTCTTGCGAAGAGTAGTAAAGTGGCAACGTCCTCCAAGGAAGCAAAGGCCACAAAGACACTGGGGGTGATCATGGGCGGCTTTGTGGCGTGTTGGCTGCCATTCTTCATCCTGGCGGTGATCCGACCGTTCTGCGGCGCTCAGGAGCAGTACTGCTCCATCCCGCCGTGGTTGGGTAGTGTGTTCGGGTGGCTAGGATATTTTAACTCATTTCTAAACCCTTTAATCTACGCACGATTTAACAGAGAGTTTAGAACACCGTTTAAAGAAATTTTATGTTTCCGATGTAGGGGTATCAATTCTCGGATACGATCGGAAAGTTATGTGGAACAATATGGTCCCGATCCAACGTTCCGGGACAGCTTACGGCCTCCCACAGAGACGATCGTAAGATATAATAGCCAAGGACACACTATTGTGCATGTCGGAAACGGTAATGCGTGTCCGGATGAAAGTAAGCTGTGACAAGTTTGTATATATATAACGATACCTTTATAGGAAGTGAAAGCAATGCCATCAAATGGCAAATACGAGTGTGCCAATTGTTGTGATTCTAACCCCATTTCTCTGAGAATAATATAAATAAGTTATGATTATTTAGATAACTCATATTAAACGATATTATGTGGAGTGTGATGTGTAATTATGTGAAAAAAAGCAATACGACTCGCAAGGATGTATTAAATATATCTTTGTCATGTCATTGACATTTGACGTCATCAATGACGTCATTGCCATTTAACGTCATCAGTGACGTCAATGACATTTGTCGTCATCAGTGACGTCATTGACAGTGTTGTATATAGAACGTATATCGTAATGCCTTAAATTGCCTGAAAATGGGTGACCTGCACTGTACGTATGTATTCTATTTCAGATTTAACGTGTATCTCACAATCTACAGTTGCCATGGTTCATATGCTGTGATAGAATCGCGGGTTGTCTTCAATTATGTGATGAGGACAAAGTAAAAGTGCTGCATTTTGTACTTAATGTAGAAGTTCTACGAAAAGAGCTGTATGGAAATCGCTCCATTCTTTGAATAAGAAACGACGAAATCCATACCACAATCAATCAAGAGGTAAACATGAGATACGTAGCCGCATAACTGAAGACGCCCTCCTGTTATCCGTCAATATTTAAGTGTTGATAGAACATTTTTCGTCCACTGTTGTTAGACCAGTACGCCAGAGTTATTGCCCCTTGTCATGTTTTCTAGAGTTATAATGACGGTGATTTCGTGTTCTCTTGCCCATTGTAATGTTTGTTTGGAACGTTGCAAAAATAACTTAAAAGAATGTTATTATTCAGTCGAAAAAATCACCTATCATCTAATTAATGCTGGCTGTGCTTTCGTTGTGACATTTCGTCATTTGTTAAGCAAGTGAAAATCGTTATTAAAATTTTTTGCATTGTTTCAACCGTTCCTAAAAAACAGCACTTTAGCAAACATTCACAGGTAGTTGTTTATTTGTCGAACATTTCCTATTGCAAAACGGCAGAGTTTTTTTAAATTCTTTTCCCACTATGGTAATTGTGACCAACCAATTATTGTCGGAGCTTATTACGATGCCTGTTAGACATAGTATAAAATGTGTTTGTCACGCTATTTAATAGGATGTTGACCAGGACGAGGAGCGTTCAAGTGCTGTTTGTGACGCTAAAAAAGGCCTACGACGATTAATACCAATTTCATTTTATAAACAATATGGCATAATAACAGGAGCGAATCACATTCAATTGATAAGCATGATCTAATATTAGTTTTATTGCCGCGAAGCGGTTTATGATGAGAGTACACTCCGGTTTTTTGTGTTATAGCTCCATAACATGAAAAACATATTCAAGTTAATCCTTATAATTTAATCTACTTTACACATACTTTTTTAAGCCAATGAAAATGCTTGTTACAAGCAAGATTAAATTATTCAATAATACAGCGCAGTAATAAACAAAAATTATATGATTGACATCGGGCCTTGAATTCAATTATGTGAGAGTGTTGAACTTATTTCTTAATTATGGCATCCCTTCAAGTATCGAGATAACTGCAAACTTTTCTTCATTGCAAAGCTTCATTAACAGCAGGCCACGTAAATTATATAGAGAAAAGCTTAGATTTGATTATGCCTTCCTCTCACTTAACTGTCCGGGACTGCACGTGTGAACGTTCTATCCTAAATTTGTTCTAATTCATTTTTATAATTCATTCTTAATTATCAATATTTTGAGTCAATGCAACCAAGAATTATTTATAGTTAGTAGTAATACAGCAAGTTTAAATAAATTGAAGTCAAACCTTATCCTATTGAAACCTCCCTTCACAACCGTGTTCGTACTGCTGGAAACAAAGGCTGTGGAATTGAAGGGTTCATGATCAATCATCCCTTCTTTAGAAACATTCGCTACACTTCTTAGATTGGATTTCTATATATATATATAATCTTTATTGTCATTTTTCAGTTTCTAAGCAATTAAGATGTCCTGATATGTTTTGTACTGTCAAAGTTTTGTTCTTATCAGAATATTTCTTGGATAGTAAAACTGGTTAAACAAATTTTTAATTGTTCTGTAGAGCAAGAATTCCGTTACAAGAAATATTATGACAACAAGTGACAAATTTATATAATTTCTGAAAACTGATGAAAAAGGTTTTACTTACGAAGTATTTAAACTTAAAAAAGTTGGGAATTACAATCAAAAGGAAGTGAGATATACATTCACTTTTTAAATATTATATATATCATTAACAAGGAAAACGTCAACCAAATCTAATTTTATCTTCGTTAAAGATATCGATTACGCCAAGAAATGATGTGGATGTGACGATTTGAAACATCTCGTAATTACGATAAAATACGATATTTGGTATAACGGCCGGAACCTCCTTCAGCATGGACCGGATATTGGGTGTTTTGGCATGCAGTTAATGTAGTAACAAAGACAAATCGATGGTATAATGACCCGTGGTCAGCGTGTGTTCAATGAAACATGCGTGTGATAACCGTACTAATGTATAGGTTGATGACGAGGCTTGGACATTAACACGGTAGGGGGCGCTGAAACATCAGCTATAGGTCTACACGTTAGTGATTACATTAATTGTTTTCTTCTTTTTTTTTATTTGAAAAAATATGTCATTTTTTATATTGAAAATTCCGTAATTTTGCTACTGCTGATCAATTACACAGCTACTAGAACATTTTTATGTTGTCTTATTTATTAAATAAAATGATTTTCTGGATTTCAAATCCAAGTTGCCAAAACCGTATGCATAATTAAAGCAATACCATTTTTACATGCCGTTTTCAATGTTGTTGTTTTTCTATAGGGCCTTAAGTTGGTTTTTGTTTCATCTTTTATACAATAGACCCTGACATGCCTTTTCTGTCGTCCCTGTGTAGTTTTGAACATACTAAAGATAAAATTATCTTATCACTGCCCCTCTACCTTCATCATGTATTAGCTTTATCACTTCGCCGACTTCCGTCATTGTTATTGAGGTTTACAATTGGTACTAATTACAGTACAAGCTATTGTCAATATCAAATAAAATGTTTACTTCACGTATTTATTGACGACAAATTCGTAAATATGTAACCAGGATAAATAGTTCAACGCCTCTGACCAGTTTTACGTTGCATAATGAAATTGTGTTTTATATAAAAAGGTATACTGCAAACGTACGCATTTTAGCGGTACCCTTATTTTAGCTCTTTTGGTGCATTAAATTGCGCTAGAGTATGAATGCGCTAATTGAAGTATCTTGTATATCATTCTATATTGCTCATTTTCTTGTTGCGCAAATTCATAAATGTGCTTAGCTATTAAAATAAGATAATGTGCTAAAATTTGAGTACGTTAAAATAAGCACCTGTACAGTATTAGAAGTTCTTTATTTCGTTCATTCTGATCTTGATGCGATAATTCTACTGTCACATACTGTGGGTATACATATTTTAGCGGTCATCTTATTTTTAGCGTTTTCTGCACTTCAAATATTGCGCTAAATTGTCACTAAGCTTTTTTTGTTTATGGTCATTGTTTTTATTGAAGATATTGAAATTTAGCACAAATTCATCAGAGCGCTAATATGTTTGATTCGACGATACGCTAAAATTTGAGTGCGTTAAAATGAGTATGTATACAATATGCTTTCAGTTTATTGCTACATTGTTCATATTTCAAGATTGTATCCATGCTTTTAATTGAAATGAATATTTGTTTTTACGTTTTGCACACAAATAGGGTCGTATGTTTGTATTGTGACACAGCTGCTGACATGTGTTTATTATAGAACAATGTAACATTAAGACAATGGGGGTCATGCTTTTGGGTTACTCTGTGAATATGTTCATTGTTTTTGAGGAAAACCCAAGAGCCCTGACTCCTGACTCTCTTGTATCCATGAAATAATGATGCCGGTTGTTGTCCCTGCGGATTTGCTAGGAATACAATGTATCCAATGTGTTCCTCACCATTGTAATGGCTAGCGTTTGTGAAAGGAAGTGGTTTACTAGAGTGGAGTAGACTGTTTGTTGCCTATACTGTGACAAATTTGACAACTACACTCACTCACAGTAAGTAGGACAGTAGTGAAAAATACTCTAAAATTACACAGGAACAAAATGCATAATAGTATGTGATTACTCATACCAAAGACAGTATATTTAGATTTTTATTTCCTCAAACTTGCAAAACAACAAAATAACGTTTGGAAGTTAACAAGTGGCTGAAAAAATAAAAACCAATTTATACCATGAAACATAAATATGAAGATAAATTATTTTCCCTACTGCTACTTTAGCAATTCCTGATTGATTTTGTTGTTTATGAAAACGTTCTGGGATATTTGTTTTTATCTTTGCTTGACTTAGATTACCTTTAAAGAACTATAGTGACGGAGACTCAGCTAACACACTGCATTGTCAAAACTAGTTCTGTAGTTTAAACATCAAATTTGTTCCAGCCAATGGCAACAAAACATTGTCTACTCCATTCTAAGACTGTGGGTACGATGCATGTATCAGGTACAGTTGTTCCAAACCTACAAGACATTTGCTACCTTTCAGAAAATCTCGATTGTATCGTGTTTTATCGCACGGTTTCCACGTCGCGGTCATGTGATATTTTGAACGATTGGCGATAGATTCTTTACAAAGACCTTTACTTGAAGAAATCAAGATCACCTTTAGATGGATACTGTTTGGGTATTTTGCTTTATAGAAAGTTCAGAGTGTATAATGAAAATTGTTATGTTTTTGCAGGGGATTTATTTTCACACTCATTCAAGAGGAGATGCGTCTGCGAAGTCAAATCCTCCGCGCAATTGCACATATAAGCATTTGCCAAATAAAACAAAGTTCGCGAAATAAAGTACCCACAAATATGAGGTGATTCACAGTTACGTGATTTATATCACGGTATGGCTCTGGTTGCTACTGTCTTGTATCTGATTTGGAACAACTGAAAGTCACATGAAGGTATGATCGTTAGTATTAAATTTACCCACTTCCGGTTACTGGCTTTGTTCGTTGATATTAAAGAATATTGGACATAATATAATAAACTGTTATTTATTTAAAATTAATGTTATTTTTTGTTTTTAACCAATCATCATAAGGGGTTAGCGTAGTTCCGGATATTTTTACCATGGTTATATTTTTGCGTTAACTTGCAAAAATGTAATCATAAAAGTATCCTTAACGTTGTGTCAGAGTACCAGGTTACCTGAATAGCGGTTACAAACCTGGGAAGTTCTAAGCGTGCGGCGATAATCTGGAAGGTTCCATAGTTGTTGTGTAGGGTTGAGAGGTAAGTGTTTACCTGTACAAATCGGCGAGTCCTGGTCACAACCCCAAATTGTATTAAAAAGAGGAAAATTTGAAATCGCTGAGTCAGCACTAACATCTACACATACTCGCGAGTTCGAAAATATTGGAATTTAATTTCTTGTTTTATCATGTATTTTCAATTTTAGTCATATTTTTGCGCATAGACCCAATTCGCAAAAATAGACCTGTAAAAATAAAACTACAGATATTTTGGAGAAATTCACAAAAATTAACGTATGTAAAAACGTCCCGATTTACGGTAATCCTAACTCAATTAGACTTATGATTTCGATAGAATTAAAAACACTACTGAGAACATATATTCAAATACTAAAACAAGAGATGATTCTGCAAAAAACAACAAGAGATTTTAAAAGTGCTTAAAACTTAGTTTCGAAGTAAGTTATAAACAAATGAGGGATATACAAGGAGTTTCTCTAAAAAATACAAGGAAAGTAAAACAAAGGTTATCACAGCGTAAAGCAAGGGCTTCCAAATGATAACAAAATGTGATCTCTGCTTCATCGACGACACCCGCCATGTAAATCGAGGTCGAATCCAAGTAATGTCACGTCCTCAAAATGGGAACCGGTACAGTGACAACAACATCATAGTCAATGACATTCGTATCACACAACGAAATTAAACACTTCCGAATGAGATCCCAACCTATGTCTATCAGAACCTAGTCATGAAACTACTTTAAGAAGACACTGTTCTTTAATTTTGAAAAAAGTTGTGTGTAATGAGCACATTATTGACGAAAACCTTAACTCATTAACCCCTGAAGAACATTTGTACCCTTCCAATTCAAAGCTTAGAATAGTTCATTATGAAACTTCAGTGGTAAATGTATTAAAGTACCAGGATATTCTCTCTAGTTTAGATTTCGTCTTTTCGCCCTATGGAATGAGAGTAAATTTAGGTCAACAACATAATTTACATTACAAT